CGAAGGACTACTGTAGAGTTGAGGGCCTGGCCTCGGGCAAAGCGAGAAGAACCCATGAACTGTAGAGGTCCCGAGCCCAAGACGAGGCGACTACTAAACCATGCTGTGACCCACCGAGCAACAAAGTATCCAAATGCATAATTTGTTTTCAAGATGATTTCAATCTTGCTTTCCTCGTGCAGAACGGCGGCGAATGGTTGAATTGCGGGTTGAGTGGCTGCACTTGTACTTGCAAGTCCAGTCCAAGACAAAGACGCCGTGCGATGTTTGCGCCGTCGCTCACGCCTCTCCCTTTCCCCGCCCCCCCCTCCCCCCCCCCCCCCGGAATCTCAAAGCGGGCTGCAAAAAACGAAGCAAGCTCCTAAACCCGAAGCCCCAAATTCGAACACCAAACCTCAACAAGCTTCAACCAGTCTCTGCAACATCCTAAACTAAAACAGCAACAACCCCGAAAGCCCCGACTCTCAAAATCGAGTGTCCTTCAAGCTGGGGCAGGCACTGGGTCTGCCTTGCAGGTGTGCCAATCCTCATTTGGGTGGGGATGGGAGAACTCAGGGGTTGGGGTTCAGGGGATTGGACAAGTTTGGGCGTTTAAACTTGACTACCATAAGTGTGTTGGTACCAGGGCTTGCCCAAAGACCTCAAGTCGTCCATCTTAGCGGTGCCAAATCCCTCCCGATCTGCGGATCTTTGATCAAGAAGCTTTCCAAGGAAGGCCCGAATCACACCGCAACTCTCCTCAAGCCCCCTATACAATGCTCCCATGCTCTCCACTTGCTGTGACGTGACGTTTAGATTTTGGGGTTTTGAGGAAGCAGCTCTCGGGGCTTGAAGCTTTTTGACGTTACAAGTTCCGGGCTACGGATAGCTTTCCGAAGCGTCTTCAGCTCCGAGGCCTCAAGGCATAGTAAGCGAAGAGCGACGAGAGTTCTGAGGAACGGACATTGAGCACCTCCACGTCAAAGCGCTGCTCCAGCTCCTGCGAGGTGGACGTGCAGCTGCTTCGGGGCAAGGCATAGAGGGAAGAGACCACCTTTCGGGCCACCATCCTTGACCATGGCGTTCGTGCACGAATGGTAGAGGCCCATCACCAAAGTCCGCCTTCGCATCGAGCTGATTGGAACTTGAGGATCTACACTTGTTGCATGCATGACAGGTTTCGTAAAGCACAAAAGCACTTGACAAACCGGACGAGACGAGGGGGACGAAGGGAACAAGAAAAGGGGGGCCAATGGCCGGACAGATCAGGAGGACCACGCGAGGGGACCAGCGGGATCAAGGGCTTTCCTCAGCTGTTCTCATGAGGTTCTGTCAGCAGCTTGCAAGGCCTGGGGGCCTAAGGGCTGAAGATTTGAGTTTCGACGTGATGCAGCCACAAGGCCCCCCCCCCCCAAACGGGCCCAAGTGCCTTCTTCCAGCCGGAAACCGCACGAAGGGTGGCCACCTCTGGTCTCGGCCGTTCACCTAGCGGTGACGTGATGACGGGAGCTTTTGAAGGCGCTTGAAGGCTTGTGGTCCTGCTGCACTGCTTAGTTGAGGGGGGGGCTCGCTCTCTCTCTCTCTCTCTCCGTCCTTTTGTCTTCTGCTTCATGTTCATCTTCATCTTCATCTTCTTCTTCTTCTTCTTCTTCTTCTTCTTCTTCTTCTGCTTCTTCTTCTGCTTCTTCTTCTCCTTCCCCTTCTCCTTCTTCTCCAGACGGGCACAAAACCCCCCGTGCGCCAGGCGCACGCGCGTTGTCTCAGGTCAACGCGAGAATTCCCACTATGCCGCAGTACAAACTAATTGTAGACTTTCCCCAGTTGATCCCCGAACAACCTAACGCCTCCGCCTCCCTCTCTTTCTCTCTCTGGCTCTCTCGTTCGGCTGATTGATTGTGCCAAACGGCTGCGTCTCGGTGTCTTGTTGTGCTCCAGAAGTCGTAAAGCTATTCGAGCATGGGCAAGAAGCAAACGCACGCCAACCAAGAATAATGCCCAAGTCCGAAGAAGAGCACCGCTATGGCATCGCGACCCGTGTTCCTAACATCAACACCGGTCTTGACCCTTTCATGTTGCAACTGTTAGAGTGGCCTTACAGACTCACATGCAAATTTCACTGCAACGATCGAGGCTGCGACGCTGGAAAGCAAAATCGGCTTCTGCGTCCTCCATTCCGGTAAGGCTTTGGAAGCACTAGGTAGTCGGGCTAGGTTTGGTCTAGATTTGCAGATGTACGATGAAAAAATATTTGCTACATATGTAGGTGCAATCTTTGTAAACTACTTGCAGGCTAGCTTGTTTGCACACTTTGCACCTGGTTGCTATCTGATGGAAATGTCTCGCAGACGCCGGGGTCGGCATCCGATTCCAGTAGAAGCGTGCCCGTCTCTGAAGTAAACGCCCAAACGCTTCAACAGCATGCTTGCGCATGTTTCCTGAGAGCCCACATGCCATCTCTGAGGCAAGAGCATTGCGGAGAACTCTCGCGCACGATATGGCCACGCGGCACCTGTGAAACTTCCAGGCTTCAGGTCTGTTTGGACACCTCGTATTTGAGTCCCCGATCCTCACCCTCTGGAACCTTCCATCTTGAAGAAGAGATTGCACAAAGTTGGTAGTTTTGAAGGCTGCCGACCCGAATGCCTGGCAGAAGGCTTCTCGCATAACGAGTTGGGAAACCAGGGATCCAGGCCCTTAAGCGGCATCGTGCGTTTTGTCTTCGAAAGCGTTCGACAGGTGTGGTTGCAGGCCTCTCGCGTGCTCCTGAAGTGCGCCATCCTCGTAACTGTCGTCTCTTTTGAGATATGGTTTCCTCGAAAGCGCAGACCGTCACGAGGGTGAGGCACCTGGGGTGCGCCATCCTCGTGACCGTCGTCGCTTTTGGACTTCGGCCCGATGCTCGTGTCTGAAAAGTGCTGACAGTCACGATGATGAGGAACATGGGTTGCGCCATCCTCGTAACTGTCGTCGCCTTTGCACCCAAGGCAGCCAAGAGCACCGACATGTTTCAATGTAATAATGTACTTCAGGGCAAGCGAAGGAACCCCCAAGAGTATACAAGTACAAAGCTCTCAATAGGAACTATTTGGAAGAAGGCTTCTGAGGCTTATGCACTAGCTTCTGCCACTGCTGCCAGCGGATCCCAATGCTTCAGGACTTGAGGCAGAGTGTGCTTGTTGGGACTTCGCCCTTCAGTTGAAGCCATGTCCAAGTGCTTACAAAAACTCAAGTGGCCCAGGGTTTTGAACCATCGTCTCCAAATGGCACATAGGAAAGTACCAGTCGTGCAGCAGTGCCTTGAGCAACTACTTCTCACTGGCCAAACCCTAATGGAGGTGAAGTCGTGCAGATGGACTGCGATACACTGGCGTTGGATATCATGGGCGGTGTGCATGTTGTTTGTTTTATCGTGTGAGCAATCGTGCCTTGGGCTTAGGCTGCATGGGATTCATGTATTCATTTCTCGTGCTAGTAGCTGGCACTCATACAAGCTGGAAGGTGCCTACGCATGTGAACAACGCCAGGTTTGGGGTTCTGGTGAACGTGGGGTGCAAAAGTCGTAGAGAGCCCTAAGCTCAGCAAGCCCCTCACTTCCCCATAGCCAAAATTGGGCCCGCGCGAAGAATTTGATCTCGCACCTCGACAGCCTCAGCGCCCCCACGCCAAGTTCGAGGATCCCGATGCCGACCCGAGACTGCGGCATGCATCTCTCTCGTAAAACTTATACCTATATATACATATCTGAACTAAATAAATACCAATATATGTACATATATATATATACATTCACATATACGCGCCCTCAGAAGCCTCTTGAACGGACGTTTGGGACTTTTGTGGTTGTGCCTTCCAGCTCCGAGACCTTGAAGTGACGGTCTGGGTGTCCAGGTCTCGTCTTCGGCAATTTGGCCAGAAATCTCCAATGCAGTTCAGGGAGAAGGAGCCTCTAAAATGCCGATGCTCATGGGTTGCGCCCAGGCTACCGGCGGCTACCGGCGGCTACCTGGGTACGTGTGGCGCTTGCGTGCTGCTTTGCAGCACCTTGCCCCGCGAGCTGTCGACTTCTGCAGTCCGCTTACATCTCGCATGGCCTACCCCACGTACCCTCGCGGAACGTAGAGGGTCAAGGCGACTTCCTCTAGAACCGAAATCAACAAAAGAGTTCCAAAACGCGAAAAAAGGTGGGTCTGGCCAGGTCCGCTCGAGAACGAAACAAGGAACATGAGAAATCCCGACTGTGGTACCCTAGCGTGTGAATTATGATAAGTGCCATGCGACCTGAGGCCGTTCGTTACCCACCATGCCTGCAAACAGCCATCCTTATCGGGCTTCCTGGACACAATGACCTAAAGCTTCAACCCTAAGTGGCTAAGCGCACCCACGGATTCTGATGCAGAACAAGGCTACTGGGCCTGTCGGTCCCACAAGAGAAGTTGCATCAGAATGGGACGGGTGTAGAGAAAGGCGATTTCTATGACTCGAGCCCTGCGACTGTAACCCCCCTCTTCTTACCCTTGCACTGCAAACCCCAGCCCCAGATGTCTCAGGCAAGTGGGGGAGGGAAGCTGAAGGCCAGGGGTTGGCCCGTCGTGCGACGGAGCTCATGTCATGCTGTTGCCTCCACCCCCCCTCCCTAAGCAGCTCTGCTTTCTGAAGTCCCTGCGTCCTTCGCATGTTCTGTAGATTCAGGCAGCGGAAAAGAAAAATGAAAGGCTGCCAGATCTTTGCACGCAGCTGTCCAGCCTGGGTGGCACATGGATTCGGAACAGTTCAGAAACCAAGCTACAAGTATGTATCAGCCGCCGATGGACTCTAGACGAATTTAAAGTCTGTCGAAAGGCCTCAGGATAGCTTACGACTTTCGCCGCATCAATTTAGCGGGGGGGGGGGTTAAGGCTCCCGAGGCTTGACGCATTGCACTTCGCGGTGACGGAGACAAGATGGGACAGTTCAGGAGACGACCTCTGGACAGTTGGAGCCCTGACATGCCCCGAGCCTGACCCCTCCTCTTGGCCAGCTGCTCACTTTGCCACCTGGAAGGGGCCCAGAGGGCAGAGGCGCTCTGATGTTTTTAGGGCTGAGCCGGAGCATATTCAGGATTTCGTTTTTAAAGGGGGGGGGGGCGGCCCCGGAAGCTAAACTAAGCCTCACCTTCCGCCACAGCAGCTTCTCGGCCATGAAGGCACCAACAGGAGCACCCAGGCATGGCCCGACCTTGACTTCTAAGGTTTCATGGCTTTTCTGTGAGAGGGTCACCTAATGCCACAAAGTGCTGGGCGTCATGAGGCGCCCGAATGCAACTCAGTCTTCCTATTGACTTGCAAGAGGTCCCTTGACACGCGTTTACATCCCATCCACGCTCCGATTCGGAGGCTTTCGCCAGGCGTTGACCCTTGTGACCTGGATGGCATCCTCTGGAACCCGGGAGTACCAAGGCGATGCATGTACGGCACCCAAGCATGATCTGTGATCAGCCGAGACCAGCCTCACTACGTTACGGCCCTGTCCGAACGACCTTAGCCTCTTGCCCTGGGGCCCGATGAAGTTTGAACCACCAAATGCCGAGCTGTTCCTTCCGCGAGAAAGGGCATCACAACTCTGCCACCAGGCTGCAATGTAAATCCTCGGCTGGGGCTTTCCCAAGGCTCTGAATCTAAAGCTGTATGCGCGGTGCGCATGCAAGATTAATGGGCGTAACTTGGAAAACCAAGGCGTGGGAGGCTGCGTAAAGAGCATTGTTGGGTTTCAAGAATGGTTTCAGGGTGGGTTTCTCACCGCTTGCTTGCAGGAGCTTTCGCCACTGCGGAGATTCACAGCCTCAGGCTGGGCTGCCTAGACACCGAAAATCCCCGAAACCTGCGTTTCCACTTCTTTTGCATTTGAGAATCCAGAAGCCGCTTCGCGGGCCCGGGATGGCGACCTCGCCCCAGCCACCCAAAGCCTTGCACCGAGCTTCAAGGACTGCCGACGTTTCTGGTGCTTTTCGTGGGGCAGGTGGGGTGGGGGGTTTGAGGAGTTGAGGGCTCAGCTGATCAAGCCTGTCCCATGCTTCTACAGCTCGTATGAGGCTCGCTTGGCCCAGCCTCAGGTCAACCTCTTAACTCGAAACCCAACGCGAGGACTCTGGACTTGCAGTCTTTACAAGCCTAAACTCTAAAGTTGGATCTTCATCAGCCTGGCAGTGGCCTGCATGAACCAAAGTGCTGACAGCCTGCCTCCTTGGGTTTGTGCAGCCACACAGGCTGCGGAAAGCCCAAAAGGGCACGCACAAGTTATGCCAAGCTCTGACAGGCAGCCGCCACGATGCGAGGGCCAAAGTCTCGTGCCGGGTTCCATCCGGCCTGACCATGGGGGTTATTTCTAGAAATTGGACACCTCGCGGCGTGGCCTGAAACCAAGCCAGAACCAAGCCAACTGCACGGAGGGCAAGGCTTCCAGTGACTCTCTACTTGAACCCGTGGACTGAAAGCCCTGACCCGACTCACCACGAGCCCGAGTTGCAACTTGACCTACAACTTTGTCACCTGAGTGATGGGGGCATACAGCGGGAGGAGAACGGCCACGGTCATGCCAATGACAAAGGGGACGCCGACGCGCTCTACACTGCCGAGGACCTGGTCGAGGATTTCGTGCCACGATGTGCCATGTACAACTTCCAAGCAGTGGTTTGTCAGCGCATCTGTTCACTCGGTCAACATACTTTGGCATCCTCTCCAAAACTCGGCCCCTTCTTCAAATTCAAAAAGCAGTTGATCGATGTTCGCCTTGTTTCGGCCGTTGGTGATGCCAAAGATCACGAACGCAAGGATAAGCGTCCCCCAAGCCTCACAGGCAAACAATGTAGGGCATCAGCTTTGACAAAGTAGGAATGGCCGAGAGCCAAGCCCGAACCCTCCAAGCATTGAAAGACCCAAATCCTTAAACCCCGAGGAACTTCAGGGCCATGGAAAACCAACAACTTAGGGAACCAAGCTCCAGTCCCATGATGACTTATAACTATGGAAGAGCTCATGAACAAAATGGTTCAGTCTCGACTCTCTCATTGTATTGGCAGCCCATGTGCCCATATCATTTCTTGTCTTCAACTTAGACAACTCATGTACAGGCTCACTATTAAGTTAAGAGCCAGGTAGCCCCTCATCATGAGAAAAAACGGATGGGAGAATGACAAGGGCGACAAGAAACAAGCCTTTATATCCTGAAGGCCCCTTCCCCTTCCTTTCCCACCTTTTGACCTTCGAATGTCTTTCGGCCTCCGTGCATTTTCAGGAGTATGAACCAAAGGGATCGCCAAATAGACCCTAAAGGTCCATGCCACAAAGCTTGACATGACCTGCAAAAAGAGGTTCTGTGGTGGCCCTCGGCTTCGAAAATCCAGGGTCAAAGGGTCCGCAGTAGTTTAGGGCTCTGAGGGCATCGGAGTTCATTCTGGAACTTATTGTTTAGGGGGAGATTTTTTGGAGATTTGTTGAACCATTCCTCGTTCCAGCGTTCAGAGTCAGAGGCGCTAGGTCGATGTCCGCGCGCGTCCGGCTGCCTTCTCTTGACGTTATTATAGTAAAATTAACTAGAAGAGGGATGGCCTGAAAGCATCGATTTGCCGTGCGTTGACTCCATGCACTTGACTATTTGTACTCGAACTGTATGCACTTGGAGAAATGTATGCCCTTACATGGTTGCATAGTCACTTGTACACTGCACTTGTATGCACTGGAACTGCATGGCATTCAAGTGTGTGGAGTTGAATGCCATGCACTTGTGGTCAACTCTGTAGAATTCCGCTTCCATGCTATTTGCGAGGTTTTCGCATGTCCGGAATTCCGCTTCCATGCTATTTGCGGTGCTTTCAAGCGCCACATGTCCGTTACCATGCTCTTTGCGGTGTTTTCGAGCGCCCATATGTCCGTTACCATGCTATTTGCGGTGTTTTCATGCGCCCAGATGTCCGTTACCATGCTATTTGCGGTCTTTTCAAGCGCCCAGATGTCCGTTACCATGCTATTTGCGGTGTTTTCATGCGCCCAGATGTCCGTGACCATGCTATTTGCGCCCACGTTATTTGCGAGGGTTTCGAAGCCCCAGAATTCCGCTCCGGAATTCCGCTTCCATGCTATTCATGCTATTTGCGGTGCTTTCAAGCGTCCGTTACCATGCTCTTTGCGGTGTTTTCGAGCGCCCAGATGTCCGTTACCATGCTATTTGGGGTGTTTTCATGCGCCCAGATGTCCGTTACCATGCTCTTTGCGGTGTTTTAGAGCGCCCAGATGTCCGTTACCATGCTATTTGGGGTGTTTTCATGCGCCCAGATGTCCGTTACCATGCTATTTGCGGTCTTTTCAAGCGCCCAGATGTCCGTTACCATGCTATTTGCGGTGTTTTCATGCGCCCAGATGTCCGTTACCATGCTATTTGCGGTGTTTTCAGACGCCCAGGGTGTCCGCGGCGTACTACGTCTGTACTACAAACAGTCCACTTTCCAGCCACGGAAGCTCCGCGTGTCCGCGGCGTACTCGGCGTACTACGTTTGTACTACAAAAGTCGACTTTCCAGCCACGGAAGCTCCGCGTGTCCGTGGCGTACTACATTTGTACCACAAAAGTCGACTTTCCAGCCACGGAAGCTCCGGGTGTCCGCGGCGTACTACGTTTGTACTACAAAAGTCGACTTTCCAGCCACGGAAGCTCCGGGCGTCCCCGGCGTACTACATTTGTACTACAAAAGTCGACTTTCCTGCCACGGAAGCTCCGGGTGTCCGCGGCGTACTACGTCTGTACTACAAAACTCGACTTTCCAGCCACGGAAGCTCCGCGTGTCCGTACTACAAAAGTCAACTTTGGCACCGCGACCACGCCGAAACCCGCAGAGGGGTTACGTTCGTATGTCAAAAAACGCAAAAACACGAGGGTTTTGGCACCGCGCCAACGCCGCAACCCGCAGAGGGGTTACGTTTGTTTGTCAAAAAAGGCCAAAACACGATGGTTTTGGCACCGCGCCAACGCCGAAACCCGCAGAGGGTTGTCTGCGGCCACGGAAAAAAGTTCCAAAAACGACGGCTTTAGCACCGCGACCCGGCGATCACCCGCAGAGGGTTGTCCGCGGACACAAAGAAACGTAAAAAAACGACGGTTTTGGCACCGCGACCACGCCGAAACCCGCAGAGGGTTGTCCGCGCAAATCAAGAAACGTAAAAAAACGACGGTTTTAGCACCGCGACCACGCCGAAACCCGCAGAGGGTTGCAATCCCGATTGGCGATGTCAACCCAGCCCGCCGCCTTAGAAAGAGTAATTTTAATTTAGAAATCTAGGACTGGGTACGAAGGTCTAGTAAATTCTACGTAAATCTAGAAATTTGTATTCACTGATTACTAAACTCTATGCAATTCACTCTATGCAATTCACTCTATGCACTTCACTCTATGCACTTCACTCTATGCACTTCACTCTATGCACTTCACTCTATGCACTTCACTCTATGCGCTTCACTCTGTGCACTTCACTCTGTGCACTTCACTCTATGCACTTCGCTCTATGCACTTTGCTCTATGCGCTTCACTCTATGCACTTCGCTCTGTGCACTTCACTCTATGCACTTCACTCTATGCACTTCACTCTGTGCACTTCACTCTATGCACTTCACTCTATGCACTTCACTCTATGCGCTTCACTCTGTGCACTTCACTCTGTGCACTTCACTCTATGCACTTCGCTCTATGCACTTTGCTCTATGCGCTTCACTCTATGCACTTCACTCTATGCACTTCACTCTATGCACTTCAGTCTATGTTGTTGTGTCAGGGGGCTCCGCACGGAAGAACCCTTCGCGATGCTTTCGGGAAAAAGGGACCCTAAGAAAATACTAGTAGTAATTGTTCCGACCCCTATATTCGGTTGCCCAGGGGTGACTGAGGCGCCTCCGTCATGAGAGCACCAAAGACCGAGACATCGTCTTGGACGTAAGGCCCGCTGCCGTACTCTTTGGAGAGGCCTGGATTTGGAAAGTACCTGGGCTCTTTGCTTTCGGGGGTGGAGACGATGGACTAAGCCGGCTCTGGTGCTGGGTACGGATTATAGTAGGTCTTCCCTGAAAGGCTTTCCAGGATTTTACACCAGAATGCTAGAGTATGCTTACTGAAGCTCACCGACTTGCTGCTTTATTCAGAGAAGGCGACTCAAGGCAGCGAGCCACTACAGTAGTGAAGATGCGCGCGAGAAGCGCAACCAGAAGCTCATAGACATGACGCAACAGAGGTTCAGATCTCACCACTCTTCCGATCCCCCCCCCCATGGTTTGGCCTAGAATCCGAGTTAGTGTCTGCTGTGAGCCCAACGCAGCCAACCCTCCTGTCCGTCACAGTTCTGCCCAATTCAACACCAGGCCACTCACCAAAAGCCGAGGCGGAAAGGATGGATTTGGGCTCTCCACGAACGATGCCGTTCCTTAGTCAAGACACAACGGAGATTCCAAAGCTGGTTTGAGAATATATGGGCATAGTTCAAGCATCAAGCAAAGGATTCGTAGCCGAAACCCGCAAGATTGTTGTATTAAATAGAAAACCTGTCCGTGTGCATTTGTCAGCATTTAAGTCAACCATTCTCGCCTCCCCGCCCACTGGGTCCCTGGAGTGCCGGCGCGCAGAGAATCTCACAGAGAGTCCCAGTACCCCTGGCGTGCCCGCCCTTAACCCTAAACCCTAAACCCTAAGCCCTAAACCCTTTTGCACAGGCTTGTCTAAACCCTAAACCCTAAACCCTAAACCCTAAACCCTAAACCCAGAGAAGCCTGCAAAGTCTCTTGAAGTGCCCACCAAAATCCTTCAGAGACTCCGAGCACGCCTGGTGCGTTGACCGTTGACCCCCCAAAAACCCGAAGAACCCTTGCCGCGTCCAATCCCGCAGAGCATCCAATCAAGGGCGTGACAGAAATTGTGCGGTAAAGCTTTCTTAATCCGCCGAGGCCTCGGGCCGAAGGTGTATAGGTTGTCAGAACAGGCACCCCCCTCCAAATCCTCCCCCCAGGCCCAAAGCCACTTTTCGGCCCCCTTTTTTTGCCAAAAATGGGTACCCCCCCTAGGAGAGCAGGGGCCGCCAGCGGATGGTTCGCCAGGACCAGAGGCAGTTGCAGCCCTTCCCAGCAGGGGCCCCCCCCTTTTTCCCCCCCCCTCCCCCCCCCTCCCCCCCCCCCCCTCCCCCCCCCCCCCCCCCCCCCCCCCCCCCCCCCTCCCCCCCCCCCCCTCCCTCCCCCCCCCCCCCCTCCCCCCCCCTCTCCCCCCCCCCCCTCCCCCCCCCCCCCCCCTTCCCCCCCCCCCCCCCCCTCCCACCCTCCCCCCCCTCCCACCCCCCCTCCCCCCCCCTTCCCCCCCCACCCCCCCTTACCCCTGATGGGCTGGCTCCACCCTACGATTCTTGAACCCCACACCCAAAAAACCCTAAACCCCAAAGCGTGAACCTTGAGCCCTAAGCCCTCAATCCTAAACTAACCCTCAACCCTAAACCCTAAACCATAAACCATAAACCCGGAACCCTAAACCCTAAACCCTAAACCCAACCCTTATTGCTTGGGGCCCAGCAACTTGGGCGCTCCGGAATCACCATGCTCACGCGGATGCGCTGGGCCGGGCCGAGGCGGGTCGCGTAGCGTTAAAATTACCTGCCCGAAAAATGCAAGATGGCCCCGACATAGAATTAGACTTGGGGTGGGGATGATCAAGGTAGTATGTTCGGCCGGGAACGTCCCCAATAGGTTCCCGCCTCAAACGATCACGGCCTACTTGTAAGGCAGGGCACTCGCGCTCGAAAGCGGCAATGGTTCCGCCATAGACGAGGAGGTTTATCCTTTGAGGCTTTGTGCTTGAGGTGTTGATGCCTTTTCTGGCTTCACGGCTCAGTGTTTCTGCGGCTCATAGCGCCTACTTGGTGCCATAACACGAATTGACTCTGTGCTGCTGTTCTCTGTGGCACGCGTAGCTGCAGTCAAAGGAAGAGTGACTTGAACCGGGCCATCGCACCTACCCCATGCAGCAGGGCTTTTATTGTGCTACCAAGATTTGGCCTGGGCTTGGAAAGCAGAGACACAGGGACAGACGTGCCCAGCTAAATACGGTGGCTACCATCAAGACTTAACCCATCAGAAAGTTTAAGGGTGTTTAATGAGTCCGAGCGAGCATCGCTCCCGCCAAGATTGCACCAACCATCTGAGCTGCCACGTACCTCGGCACGAGACTTGTCACCATTTGCGCGCGTGCGCGCACATGCAGCGTGTGGGTGTAAGTGCGTGAGAGTACATGTCGGGCGCGAGTGGGCACCTGTGCGGGAGCGTGGGTGTGCGCCCTGTTTGTGTTCACGTGCCTTTAGCCCCCGCCCCTCCCCCTCTCAAGCAGCTACTCGGCCGCCTGTCCGCAGGAATTTAAAGTCCTGTTTGTCGGGCTTTTCAGGACCGTGCGACTGTTTGGGGGTGCCCGGTGCGTCCTCGATTAAGTCCAATCTTCGCGCCTTTAAAGTCAGTTGCTGGGCATCTCTGTCCATGTATATAAACTCCTCCCCATTAAAATGAAAAAAAAAAGCCCGTGGACCATGTAAAGAGGGCAAAAACTAGCTTCGGCTGTTTGGGTTAAACCAACAGCAGGTACAACGTTATGCACGTAATCCCTATGGACTGCTCATGTGTTCCATCGGATGGGCTGTGTAACACGGCTATACGTCGCGAGATTCGCACTTATCGTTAAGTGGCCAACCTGAACCGTTTTAGCAAAGAAAGAATATTGTGTAAACAAGTCTTTGGCCGCATGGAGGAAGATGGTACAGTACATTGGCAGTAGCAACAAGAAACTACAAAGCAACCGCAGCGTTTGCGGTTGTACGTTGATGACAGTGCAGCGACCTGTAAGGCCCGTGGCGCCACAGCAAAGAGCGCTGTTTTGGTGGCTTGGCAGAACCCTTCCGACTGATATCCGAAAAGGCAAGAGGGAACTTTTATAATCTTTTCGAAGCAGGCGGAGCGCACCCCAGGCGTCCCCGTGGCAAAGACAACGCGACGTTGGGAGCCAACGTAGCTTTGAGCATCTGTTTAGGATTTGTTCTGCACAGCCCTCGGTCCTCCTCACGACCCAGACGTGTGATTTCCAAATGGGAAGGCTGATGTGCGCAAGGGAGGCACCGAAGGCAACGAAGTCGACAAACCGGAAGGCCAACGTATGGCAAGGTCAGATAGCAGTCGAGGGCCGGGTGGGAATCCGCAAGGGTAGTCTTTGCGAGCAGGAGGTCCGTCTATCTGGCCACGCATGCTGCCTTGCGTTTGGCGTTAAGTTGGAAAAGGCCTTGAATTCAAGACTTCATGTTTTGCTGAGTGTGCAAAATCTTGCGTTCGGTGAGCCACGGTAGCCTGGGGAACTGATCACGACATATGTTGCTGCACAACCTACTGGGGCTTCACCGGCTTGAGGCCTCGGGCATACCTGCGAGCATAGCCGGAAACCCATATGCCATAGGCCCATCCGAATTTTGTGGGAAAAGTTGGCCACACCAACTTGCTCCAAACAATTTCACAGTTGTTTGAACTATGAGACCCTGACTTCGTGGAAAAACATGGTAGGGTCAACTTAAGAAAAGTCACCCATGCATAGTTGTAAACGCCGTGGACATTTGGAGAAAGTTGGCAGGGCCAACCTTTTATTTTTGGGAAGACCTCTTCGAATTCGAGGAACAAGTTGGCCACACCTACTTCTTCCCCTGGTTTCTTGGCCAAAGGTTGGGAGGGCCAGCTTTTCCCATATAAACTCACCCAATAGTTTTAACATTCGTGGAAGTGTCGGAGAATGTTGGCAGTACCATTTCTTCCACGAACACCGCTTCGAAGTTCGCGGAAAAAGCTGGCCACGCCGACCCCTTCCCAAATTTTCACGGTGTTTGAACTATGAGACCCTGATTTCGTGGAAAACTGGTAGGGCCAATTTTTTTGCACAAACTCAAACATGCATAATTACGAACGTCGTGGAGATTTTTGAAGATGTTGGCGCAGTTTGGGAGGCCTCACTATTGCCTGTCCTTCACCTCACTTCGTTGCATGGTTTGACCATTGGTCAGCCTGGCACGTGGCTCAGCCATTATGGTGAGACCGTTTTCCACTCAATCCCGAACCCATTACTTCCGAGCCCACTGGGAGCCCTGCAGCAGCGACTTGAGCGGGGTCATGCCATGTGCTTGAGGGCGCACGAGCCTTGCGCGCTGAAGGTTAAACGATACCAGCCCATCTAGTTTTCTCACCACAGCACGGCTCAAAGACTTACGTGCAGGGGTTAGGGTCGCATGTTGGCCTGCAGTTTGGAGGGGCAACAGCTAAACAAACTTGAGGCAACGTCATGATTCTTGGTCCTTGGGACTGTCGGAACCACCCCAAACTTAAGGAAGCCGCCGACCCAGGTGGGGTGTTCGAGAGTCTGGAGGGAGAAACAAAAGCAAGGGGTTGAACCATACATTCTCAGCGTGTAAGTCCGCCTCAAGTCAAGCTGAACCAGGTCAAATGTAAAGACGGTTTCTGACAACTCTGCCAGAAACATGCCACACAACACAGCGCACCAAGCCCGCGACCCTCAATTCAACTCTACACGAATTTGCAAACCCTAAGTGAGGCCAGGCCCAGGAATCCCAGCAGGAAAGCCAGTGTTACGGCTGGGTTCAGGTGCGCTCCACTGGCCTCGCTTGCGGAAAGACTTAGGAGTCGTATGTCAACCGGTTGAAATTTACAAGGTGAAGATGGTTTGCGATCCGTCAGTATTGTAGGACATGGGGGCTGATTCAGGGTATCAGGTTCGGACAACCTGGGGCCCCAACACAGCGCTTGGAAAGGATGGTGCTTTTGGGCGGAGATTGCATTTTGCCTTTCATTTTGCCTGCTCTGCTAGCCCTCCCTCTCTTGCCTCTACATTTTCATGGAAAACCTCTGTTTCTTGCTTGGGTTAAGGACTTATAGAATGTAGGGGTTCACGGTTTCTTTTGCCACTTGCCCTGCAACCTTGCACCGCACAGCAGGGCTGCAACACGTGCCGGAACATCAACGAGCCTACAGATTGCAATCACCTCGAAAAGTATTCAAACAGGCCGTTACCGGTACTGCACCCATCAACTGCTTCATGCTGGCTCATCGTGTCAGCCACTGTTCACACCAAGAACTCAAGACCCAGTACAAGCCTAGAAAGCAATGGCTAAAGCCCTGCTAAGCAGTGAAAAAATGGTACGGTGACGCTTTTTAAACATGCGGATTTTTAAATATCTAAACAGATATTTTATACTACCTCCGTCGGGGTTTCGATCGGGCCGCCAAGCCCAATTTAAACAAGCGGTACCCTCCACACCTCCACCACCCCTCCACCCCCCCTCCACCCCCCCCCCCCCCCCTCCACACCCCTCCACCACTGCAGCATCGGGGTGGAGGGTGGAGGGGTGCAGGGGCGGAGGGGTGGAGGGGTGCAGGGGTGGATGGGGTGGAGGGGGGGTGGAGGGGTGGAGGGGTGGAGGGGTGGAGGGGGGGGCGGAGGGTAGGGGTGGGGAGGGGTGGGGAGGGGTGGGGAGGGGTGGGGAGGGGTGGGGAGGGGTGGGGAGGGGTGGGGAGGGGTGGGGAGGGGTGGGGAGGGGTGGGGAGGGGTGGGGAGTGGGGAGAAGAAATTTTAGTGGGGAGGGGTGGGGAGGGGTGGGGAGGGGTGTTTAAATACACGATTTAAACAGCACTTTTATACTACCTCTGTGGCTTCGGGGTCCTGGCCGCCCTCCACTTATTTAAAACAACTACACCGTACCTAGACCGGCACCGCTTCAACTACGGGGACAAATGCTGCAAGCACTTTGATTTGAAGGTTGGGAAGCTTTTTTTGCCACCCACATAGCTGACGGAGTCAAGTTACGGGGTTTGACACGCGTGAACCAAAGGTGTGGCGTTCGGATAACGGGCGACTACAAGAAAGAGACTTGTTTCGCTTCCCTGCCCTCCAGACTTCCAGAGATACCAGCAATCCATCCCTCTGACCTCAACCTTAGGTCCCCTTCAATCGTAATCATCAGACTCCAGGCCGAGGCTGTTTTTAGCTGTTGCTTTTTGCTCTCTTTTTTCAGGCTCCTGCTGATCAACCCCTCGACCCTGAGACGTAGCCCTAAAGCCTGTGGGGCTGTGGTTTCGGTTCAAGGGCTGAAGATGGCACGGTGTGCGTGAAAGCCTTCGACCCCAAACTCAAACAGCAATTGAGGACCACTGCTTTTCATTTTCTGGACAACAGCAAAGGCGACTTTCTTTGCCCAGCTGAATCTGCCACCGCGGGGCGCGACAAAAGCATCAAGCAATCCCAGGCGTGCGTCACAGCATCCAGGATCTACAAATTGCACGGGGGACATTTTTGCAGTTGGGAGCAAAAAGGGGGACCCAAACCGTCCCCCAAACAGGCCGCCACGGCACCCCAGGTCTGCTGACTTCACAAAGAAGGGGGGGGGGGACAAATGAGAGACAAGCTTTTGGGGCAGAGTGCTGGGAGACATCCAAAGGAATGTGAAAGAAACCGTCCCATAAACCACATCGTCAACAGAATTTCTGGGCCCAAGCTGCTTGGCGAGATAATTGCCACAATTCGAACCTTTAAAATTAGTCACTTGAATGACGCTAATTGAGAACTGTTTCAAACGACCAAAAGAAGCAAAGCCATTTAACGACTTTATATGAACAATAAGTTAGTAAAATGAACCGTCTGTAATGCACAAATAAGTAAATTCACATTTGATCATGATAAATTACATGAATTAAGCTAGTTATATGAAACATGGGAGACATGTCAGGCTCCGCTCATTTTAGAAAAGGAGACAATGTGAGACAACAGTCCCTGATGTTACACACAGCATCCGGTTTCGAGACCAGTTGAAGGCGAATGGGAGACAACAGTCCCGGAGTGTCCAGTCGAGACAAACGGGAGACAAATGGGACAACCGTCCTAGATGGGCGTCACATCATGTAGGGTATGGTCGCTTTAGAAAGCGAGACGGATGTACGAATGAGGGGGGGACCAGTGGGAGACGAATGGGAGACAAACGGTCCACAGCATCCAGGATCGAGACAAGGAGGCAAGTAGGGGACAACAGTCCGAGACGGGACTTGCAGCAACCAGCATCGAGACGAATGGGGAGAGACACATGAGAGGCAACGTCTATATAGAGTGGTGCCGTGAAACTTCCAAATAAACGTCACAGAAACCCTTTCCTTAACCAGAATTAAGAACCCCCCGAGCTAGAGCCATTTGGGGACAAACGGAGACAAAGACGAGACAAACAGTCTCAGACGAGCACACAGCATCCAGGGTGTGCTCACTTTACAAAGGAAGACAACTGCGTCGAGACAACTGGGAGCCAATCTTTGAGAGCGGTGCGCAGAAACCAGTTCTTTAAACAAATTGAGAACCTCCAGCTAAATCTGCCTGGGGAACAGAGGGAGACAAAAGTACCAGACGGACGTCACAGCATCCAGCTCAGGACATGTGGGAGACAACAGTCCCGGACATGCATCACAGCATCCAGCGTCGAGACATCTGGCAGACAAATGGATAACAAATTGGAGACAATGGTTTTGTTTAGACTGCTGCTGTGCGAAACCCCAAAGTGCGTCGCAGGAACCCTATAAGAGGCGAAACCAAACGCCCTCGCCTCTGCAGTGCAGTAGATCGCCAAGGATACACCGAGACCCCACACGGCAGCGACCTGGTGAATGCTGTGTCGCGAGATGCAGGCAAGGCCAAGGCATGTTTGCCCATTTGTTGCCTAATGCATCCCAAGCAAAACCCTCCAGCGTGAGATCCCATCTCTCCGCAGAAAATGACGGTGTTCATAGCCACTTTAACTGTTTAGAAGATGCAGAAAAGGCATTCTTTGTGTGCCCCGATTGACGGAAGGCCCGTGCACCTGCCACACGCCGCTGTAGGCTCCCGAAAGAGTGGCGCAAACTGATCCGCAGCCAAAGAGGACCTCGAATTTTAAAGTTCGCGGCTTTGGGGCAAACCCCAATAACTCCGCAATATCTTCGTGGAATGATTCCGTATCTTATTGCATGTTACGTGTAATTGCCGCTCCAGGCAAAGTTTGGCTACTGGCTGGCCTGTTTCCTCGTATTTCTCCTAAAGTTGCGATGTAGGACGGACGAAGGCCGCACCGGCTGCACAGAACAAGTTCCAGGGTGATGGCAAAGTTGACATATGACTGGCCAGAACCCAAATTTTATCCCAGGCGAGTAGTCTGCGATCACAGGTGAGATGTGACGTAAAGGTTTAGTATTGAGGCAAGGCACGATGAGGCCGGTGCCAATCGCCTGTGCGCCAACTTGTGATAAATGGCAACAGAGTCATGTTTCCCAGCATGCTTGTAAGGTGTCTGGGCAGGACTAGCTTCCGTTCCTGCGCAACATGCCACAACTGCGCAAAAAAGCACAAGGTTTGCCATGTCTGCGAAAACCTGGCACTCAGCATAGCACTGGACTTCCTTCCTTGCATTCCAAGACCGCTAGTACTCTGCGTGTGGAACAATCCTTGCAAACTCCATGGGGATGGAAGTCCGCGCACGCCAACATGTCGCAAGTACTATGGTGCTTCGTCCTTTTTATAGCATGCAGTCCCTGTGGGCGCTGCCCCCCAGACCCCTCACAATGCATCTGCGCCGCTTGGGCAACCTTGTCCTTGCAATACAGCTTCGCAATGCATCTTCGCCTCCTAACTATTCGACTTCGCAGTGCACCGCCGCGTTATGCATCCGTTGCATCTTTGCAATGCATCTTCGCAATGCGCCTTCGCTATGCGTCTTCGCAAACAGGATTCGGCTTCAGCTTCAGGTCGTTTCAACACCCCCCCTGCCATGGCCGCAATGTATATGTAATTGCAGCATACAGCAAAAAAAACATGTCCGGCAACAGCATGCAACAAAAGGTTTCCACTCAGGACGCTGTGCGGCCGAGGGCCCGGAACTCACTCATTCTCTTCCGCCCAGCGGTTGATCGCACAGAAAAAACAAACACGTCCGGGGGCTGTACATAATCCCGGCGCACGACCGCACGGCAAAAAAAAACACAAGAACTCGGCTTCCGAGTGTCTTGACACCATACAAAGGTTTGCTGTCCAACCCCTTATCCCCATGTCAGCTGACGATTTGGGAGCCCAGGGTTTAGGGGGGATTTTGGAGTTGAGGATTTCTAGCGATGTGAGGCTCCCATTGTCTGGTGTATTCTGTGGCCCACAACCCTCAAGCTTTGCACCATCATGAGTGTTCTCGCAGCCTCTGCGGCCAGCGCACGCATGAGGGCCACCCTCTGGTCCTTCTCAGCAAGGATATGGGGGGCTCACGAACATAGGGGACCCCTTAAAACAAACCAATAGTAGGATTCCCTTGCTATACGGACCCCCAATAAGGCACCCCAATTTCGGAAACTCCTTTATTCTGTTGGAAGGGCCAGGGCTTCGCTTGTCGCTTCTGAGGTTTGCTGGCTTCTCTACAGCGCCGAAAGCAGAAGAGCATCCATCCAGGCGGCTCAGGTCAGACTGGTCTGGCGCACGCAACGGATCGCTTTTTGAATCCCGAAGCGTCTTGAACAACACGTTGACCCATTCCCTCCTACTGTTTGAGATCAAGACACCGCTCACTGCTGCTCCACTTTGTTTCGCGATCTTGGATGTGCAGAACAATTGTGCCAGTTGCACCTGTGGCTTGGGAAGGAAGTGCTGACATAGGAATGTTGGACTTCGAAGCCGATCGCTTTGGCCCTGATCACGTCTTGTAACCCCCGAAGCCACAGGGGAGCAGCTCCTGGCCAGGGCGTCTGGGAAAACACGTGAAAATGCGCAAACATCTCTTGAAACAATCAAGGCTGACATCGTATAAGAGATTATAAGAGAGTTAGAACCGTGGACGCCAGTCAAACTCAAAGTCTTTGGTGATCTTCAACACCGTGCTTTGACACGGTTCTCAACCACAGGTCTAGTATGCCCAGCGGAGACGTCTTTGACTCTCAGAGCCTCGTTTGACGAGGTCTCTGCATCGAACATGTCACTCAAACAACTTGCCGAGAGGAAGTGTGTTTGCACACACATGCTGTTGGTGGTGCCGATCGTGGCCTCGCGCGTCTTGTAGTCAACAGAGAAAAAAGAGCCGAAGAAGGACCCACGCTGCAGACGAGGAGCGTCAGGAGCCTCGCCCTCAAACATTTCAGCTCAAAGGAAACTAACACCGCAAGGGCCTGACACAAAGACTTCAGGAGCTTTGCTTCCAGGAACGCTCCACCCAAGGATTCAGGCCTTGAGGCAAATGGTTCTTGAGGGCCCAAGCCCTGAAATTCTCTTGTGAAATAAATTTGGCTGAAAGCGCAAAGTGCCGTAGTTCAACAAAGTCGTGGCAAACCTGGCAAGGTCACTCATGCTTGATTCAAAGCACAGGTCGCCTGCCTCGAGCGCATCCCCAGCCAACCAGATCAGACCTCTTTTGCATGTGGCTGTTCTTCTGAGGTGCATCTCGCGGAAGCAAACGAAACGTAGAACACGTGCGACTGTCCCGAAGCTGACGGGTCATCTGCTCAAAGGCAACCAGAAAGCCTCACAACAGCATGTTCAGGTCATAGCACTGGGATGTAGCAATCGAATGCCATGGCACCCGCGTCACATTTGTATGTTCAGGCCAGTGGAAGCAGTGCCACGTGGCATTAGGATTCTCTGTCTGTATCCCTGGATCAAGCCCATCCATCTGGCGTTGCTCCGCCCAGGCGTGAAGCTGTGCTTTGGACGGTCTGAGCTGAATGCTGACATGTGGCTGCTGACAGCAGTGCCTGACAAAGTCAAAAGCTCCCCAGCACATTCTGTCATTGTCCTTTTGCTTCCTTTCAACGACCCAATCTCCGGGATATTTCGGTAAGCCTAGCTTACCTTGGTAGCGCCTGCACTGTCCGTGTCGCCGCCACAGCCCGTGTGAGCACCACAGATCACCGCCGAAATCCAACGTGTCACGTCGGCAGCAAGCCTTAGGCACGTGCCCACAATGTGCCACCCGCAAGTAAGCCCTGGTGCTGGCTTCCCAGGTACCGGCCTGATGCCAAATACTGGCAAAGTGGCAGAAGAAGTAGCCTGCCGAAGCTACAGAGGTCATGTGGCGCACGCAAATCCCGGCAAATTGCATTGTTTGCAGCAGGAAGCGTTCATAGTTGAGTGGCGCTGATGCAGATGGAGACGTCCGCTCTCTCGCAAAACGGTTTACGCCCTCAAGCATGTCAAAGGAATTTAATATGTCAACGAATCTTTCCATTATCCAAGCACCAGCACGCTCCATAATGAAATACCGGTCGCTTAATCCCAAGTGCTCATGCGCGTCCAGGGCCCAAACAGTTGGACGATCTTCGCACTTGCTCGCGTCCAGAAGATGGAGGCCGGGATGTCCGGCAAACCACATCAGGTCCACACGCGTGAACGCCACGTACCGATACATGGAACCTCGTCTCTCTTCGATGCCCCGAAGAGCTTGCATGCACTGAGCCCACTGCCTGTTCATGGCTTGATTCCGGAAGGGCCTCGTGTTGCGACCTTGCAGAAGATAGGGCAGGAAGGACGTGTTCTTCACGTGGCCCTGCCGCAGCTTTGCCAACCAACTCACATGGCCAGTTTGATTGTCGACCTGGACGACTTGAATGCGCGACGATGAGCTGACGTAGTCATTAAAGCTGGTGGGAAGCAGTCGGCCAGAGTCCAGCGACACAAAGTAGAAGGCATCGGCATCCAAAGGCTCCAGCACGAATCGATCCAACGCTCGAAAGCTTGGCAATCCATGCAAGCTGGGCAATCCACATGGGGCCCCTTCCTCAGTGGACATTGCTGTGTCGGCCCTTTGCAAGCTGCCAGCTATGCACACTGCCGTTGGCCTGCCTTCGCCCGCAGCTGCCGGAGTGCAGCACCCCACCAGCACTTGGAACAGAGCATTCCGCAAGCCCACGGCCATGTAAATGCGCAAGAACCATAGCATCCATAATCAAATGCGAACAAACCGATCTTGGTCACTTCCGACCCTCCTAGAAAACACGGGCATTCCCTGTGCGCAAGTCGTCAATCTCAATGTCAGCTTACGGGGCCCCGCTCCATTCGAAAGCTGTCGTTGCCACTTCAATACTTGGAAAAGGGGGGTTTCGCATTCTAGCGACCCAGCAACCCTGAAAACACCGCCCCAGACTTTCAATTGCCAACGTCTGCCAACTCAACGTCCAGCCGAACTGCAGCAGGCTTTCGGATATCTTTGCATTCGGGCTTGCGCTTCAACTCAAAAAGGGCACTCTGTCAGGCAGTTCGTCAAAGGGGTCACAAACTCAGGTCAAAAAAGTCAACCATCACCAACCAACACACAACACACAACTCACCTCAAGAACCCCCCTGAGCCCCAACTCGTCCTCGGGAAGCTCCTTAGGCGCTGCCTGCACAAGGGTGTCAGGGTTTGAGACGAAGCTCCAAACGTTAGAGGGTTTAAGCGTCCGCAACTCAAACAGGGTGCGTGCCCAGTCTGAAACAGAATCGCGAAATACCAGGGCCGATTCCGGCAATTATGATGCTGAGTCGGAAAAGCCGAGAACTACCGCAGAGTCGGTACTGTGTTGGGCGCGAGTCAAGAAAGGACGGCGCCGAGATGGAAAAAAAAGGACTTCCTGACTTTGGTATCGCATCCTGTGCGTGGCACCAGGTCCTTTGGGCTATAAGAAGGGGCTACGATGAACCCATTTCCAATCGACTTCCGCACTGTAGAACTTTGCAATGCCAACAACTAAGCTTACCTCGCAAAGGCTGCCGAACAAGTAATTTGGCCAACGCTGATAGGGGAAAAGCAAGAGCATACTCCAACGCAAGGCTCCATATTAGGAACAAATCGTATGGCGAAGCGTGGACTCACTGAAGATTGAAGTACACCTGGTAAACCAGCACCAGACATCCAGGCATGAGGCACATACTCAACCCCGGAAGTCTGTCACGCACTCAGCTGTCAACAGTGGCCCTCCGCAGCAAGCAGGTGCTGCTGATTGCTGTGTTTTCTGCTCTTGATTGAATGCATGGGGGAAGGTCACATAACAAAGATTTCATGGCGGACGGTCTGTCCAGCAAAAGATCAAGTAAGTGTACTTCCCGCTGTCCTATACAAAGCAGACTCTTAGCTGCTCGGTGCTTTTTGACGTGCCTTGCTGGCATTCAGCTGCTCCGCAACATTGCACATGGCGCTGGCTGGCACGCACACCCCACCCACGACAACCTCGCAACAGGGCGTTGCCGGATGAATGCACTTCAGGGTGGCTCGTCCGTGGGAGCTTAAGTTCGGCTAGCAGAAGGTGGCTCTGCTCATTTACGTGTAGGACATGTCAATGTGTCCAGGAGCCTACCCATGCGACCAGATGCCGTCAACTGCCACACCAAGCCAAAAACACAGCTGGACAACTAGTTTCTTTTTTGAACTCGCGCTGGACAACTAGTTAAATCAACAAACGCTGATCACAGCCATGGATCGCACTGTCCAGCAGATGGCTTGCTCGCGCCCCTCCTGAATATGGGCTGGGGAGGGCCAAGCGCGTGGGGGTGGTTAACCTGAGGTTTGATTTGAGGTTACACGACGGGACCGACGGCCTACTAACAGAAACAAACAGAACAAGTCACGACTCCAAAAATGCTGCAAGGCTGCAACACGCTGGTATAGAACAGCTCAGGAACCAAGAAGTGTCAACATAAACAGACCTCTTTCTCGCAGGACTTGGATTTACTTCCTTCGCTGCCCAGACCCCGCTTTGCAAAAAGGCTTCTCTCCACCCTGGAGTCTGAACCCTGAATCGCGAGATCCAAACCCGAAGCCCAAAGCCGCAGACAAGGTTCAGGTCTTCGAGCTTCATGCAGTTCTGCTCATTCGCCGCAACCTGTCTTGAAGGTCCAGGGTTGAAGCCGCCAGGAAGTGCTACAGTATCCAAGCAGTATACATCCGAAACCTTGTGTCGGAGTTTAGTTTGCAGCCAGCTGCAGGCACAAAGAAACACTTTTCCCGAACAACCATCTTTCCTTGTGTCTCCTAAGCTGAGATGATCGCAGCCGAGTCTTACTGCTGTATCTGAACATTGTACCGGGACAGAGTACTAGGATTCAGGGTGCAGGTTGGACTGATCCAGCCTGCTCTTGGGCCACCTCCAAGTCCTGGTTCTCCATCGCCACGCCGGGATGACGAGGTTTTCCTGAACCGGTTCTCTGCGCTGGTTTTGGCCCCCTGGGCCGAAACTCTGCCGAACTTCCAGACCCTGCTACCCTGCACCCGCTCGCTGTCGCCTTCGAGCTTTCTGGGGGGCGTAATTGGGGCGTCAGGGCCGAGCCCCGTGCGAGTCGCACGCCCCAGTTCTGTTGAAGGCACGGAATCGAGACCTAACACTCCCAGGACCCCCTACATCCTACATCCAAGCACAGTCTCGCCGGCCATTTAGTATGACACGTCGTGAAAAGCTTCTGCAAGCTGCAGGGTCTCACGGTCGTTACAACCCCTACTTCCAAATCAACATGTAGCGGACCCCTGAGAGGATTCTTTCTAGTAATAAGGGCCTCAGCCAACACCCTGGAACATCTGCCTGGAGAAATATGTAGTCTGCGGAGTTTGATGATGACCCCTGTGCCCTATGGGAGCTCACAACGTTAAACCGCCAATCCTTTGTAACGTCATACCCGTGACCCCAACGCTGGCCACCGGCATTGAGCCCCGCGCCGAGCTGGCCGGGCTCGCAGAATGCGTTTGGCAGCTGCCGCTACAGCCAAATAGCTGCGGCACCCGCGTAGGTATGGTAGGGAATCAAGACTGCGCTGTGCAAACACTACCGCTGAAAAACAGGCTTCATTGGCCTCCAATGTTTCAGGGGTCGATTCGACTCTCACAACTCCAGTGGGTCATGGTCAAGCAGCAGAGAGCAAGCCGCCAAAAGTATCAACCACATCCGAAGCTCTCAATAGAAAAAAGAGGATTCAGGGAATCCGTAGGAGGCCAGATCTGAAAGAATCCTTAACGACTCTAACATGCAGCCTTCGAGGCTCAAGCGGCTCAAGCTTCCGGCTCTGCACTTGACTTAAGCTCCTGGCCGCTTCCAACTCGCCCTGCAGATGGCGAATTTCCTGATCGAAAATTCAGGCTTCCTTGTTCTGGCGATCTGCCGCTAAGAGTGTGTGTGTGTGTGTGTGTGTGTGTGTGTGTGTGTGTGTTTCTCTGTCTCTGAGTGTGTGTGTGTGTGTGCGCGCGTGGGAGCGTGCGAAAACGACCCGGATTGTGTTTGCCAGCCAAAACCAGCCTTGCCTCCTCCAGTGCAGCGCTTCGTGGCCCAAACCTTCGGCGTGTCTATTTCCTAGGGTCTTGTGATTCTGACGCATGCCTTTTCCCTGATGCGAAGATACAGGGTTGGTCTATAACAGGTTGCGCCTGCCATGCTTTCTTACTACTCTGACTTTGTTCGATGGCGCTATTGTATCTCTGCATGTTTTCTGTTCTGCGTCTTGGCAGCTTGGCAACGCGCAGTCTGAGATCTTCGCTGCCCTGAGCTGCTGCAGTTCAGAAGTTCAGAACTGCATGCGCAGGCCGCATCCAGGCGCTTTACGACCGGCGGCGAAGGTCTTGAGAGTCTTGCCATCTGCCAACGAAGTAGACCCGAGCAGTTGCACGTGTACTGGTGCCTGTACGTTTGGCGTCTTCTCAGAGTCGGCTCTCCAGGCGCTGTGCACGTAAAGATGCCAGGCCACCAAGAGCTTCTGTACACGGATGCCAAGTGTATTTTCTAGATGACATGCGAGAGTTGAAGTTTAGCCTGTCACACTGCGGTTTTGTGTGGGCACTGAGCACATGTCTGTTCTGCAAAACGCAAGAGAAAGTCCTGACACGAGCCAAGTTTTATACATGCAGTCCTTACCAACATAATCGGGAGACACAAGAAAATCATCTTCTGGTTCACAGTAACCATGATTCGTGATGTTCTGCCATTCTTTTCCTGCTTACCCGCTTAGAATGCTAGACCTTGTGGGTTAAGCGCATGAAGTAGCTTCTTCCATATCCTCACTAACTGCCCTCAAGCCAGAAATCAACTCAAAACCCGAAAGCACTTTGGGGCCTTCGACGCTGGAGTGCACCAGCAAGCTCACCGTGGGCACGTCTGAGATGCGGCACTCCCTGGTGTTCCGCCCCCCCCCCCCCCCGCCCCGTGGTGTGATTGGGGGTTGGGGTTTCAGGTTTAGGGTATAGGGGAAGAAAGGGGTGCGGGGCTACCATACGGAGGGGGACCGGCGAACCGCAATCATATGGGCTTATTGTTTCAGGCAGAGAGGATTTGTCCAATCGATGTTTACACCTGTGACGTACAGCAATGTATCCCAAGCTGTTGCTGCACTATCCAAGCCAGGCCTTGTCCAAGCGTCTGAGTTCATTCATTTCCTCCTTGCGTCATCTAGGAAATTTGGGTGTTTATGGTTCAGATTTGATCTGCTCTCTCACAGGTGCATGGCTGTGGCTACAAACCACCTGGACAGCGCTGCCTCTATCAAGCTCACCTCTGAATCCCATGCTGAGCTTCCTCAAAATCCCCATCCCAAGCTAAGAATACACACCCGCTCCGCGCCAAACTTCAGAACACTACTCTATGCCCAGTAACCCCAGACTGACGAATTTCCGACTGCTTCGGTCCTCCTCGGGACTCAGCGGAGAAGGTGGCTCCGGGAGTGACCTAAACTCTCAACCTGCACATGCCTAAGAAGAAGAGTGCAGAGTTGAAGTCCTCAAGGTTGTGGGTTGAGATGAATGTGTGAGAATTGTCAGGGAGGATTGAGAGGGGAGAGAGAGAGTGTGAGAGAGAGAGGGAGAGAGACAGCGACAAGGAGAGCCACCGGGAGCAAAAGGGAGAGCAGGAGCAAGAATGAGGCAGGCCCCGTACAAGCCAGACAGCTAAACGACTCAAGCTCAGCTGGAGGCGGAGAATGGAGCCGGAG